AATTTATTGGCAGCCATATTAGAACAACTGGACCCAGGAGAATTGGTCAAGGAAAGAAACAGCCTCGGCGGGGATTCAAACCTTGAACCACTTGGTTTGCTTACCACGGCGCTAGCAGCCAGTGAGCAATATAATTTTAGTTCGGCGCAGTAAGTAGATCGCTCTAGAAATAAATTTAACGGTAGGGGAAGTCACAGACAGCATGTCCACATCTTGTCTGCATAAGACATGAATTGTCAGTGCCGTATTGATAGAAGAAACTCAAAACAGCCGATTGCGTGTGCGCTTGTCTGCTCCTGTTATTCTATTAAAATGTCGGTAAGTTTTACGCTCGTCTCCCCAAAAACCCACCGCTACACACTAGCTCGCTTCTGATTGGACAACCTACTGACCAGCTTCCTCTGATAGGTCGGCCTGGAGCAATCCGACTGTTACACAATGTCAGAGGGATATTCCGCACTAGTGCTCATACCGCATGTGGTATATTTCACCATTCCAGAGCGTTTAACACTTCTAAAACATTTAGATACTGGGTCTAACACACAACTCCCCTAGAGAGTGACAAAACCTATGCCACAGGCCGTTTCTTTCTCGAAAATATAAACGTAAATACCAGACAACAACAGACTGCGACCCCCATACGTACGTGCTGGTGGTATACTAGTCCAACCAACTTATCAATGGAGTTGATCTACAACCGGTGATGTGCTAAAGGTGAGACACGCGTAAAATTCACCAACATTTAAAGTTTTAATTTCAGCCGTGTTTATTTACTAATGTGTCTGGTATACCCGTTACTCTGTGAGCAATGTTGTCATTGTCACACTGGCCGCGTTTACTTCCCACAACCTTTCCCAGTACCCACCGTTGGCTTGGTGGACATCCAGGCCCACATTAACGAAACAATCTATTTGAATCGGCTGGAACCTCTGGCACTCGCCTAAGAGGTAAGTGTGCTGGCCACTGCGTCACCGTGAGTACATAATTATAACAGTTACAGTACTTGTATTTCGACAAAACCTGTTGACATAATATTTGTACTCGAGTATTAACAACTAGTATCGTCTGGGAGAGACAATTAATGTAAAACATTTATCTGCATTTCAGATTTTTCCAAGGAAATTAGTTTGCCGTGCGTCCATATTCATGTTTCAGAAATCACAGTACAGTCGATTCCGAGCAGGTACACTGCAATTACAGAATATAAATTAGTACAATTTGTCCAAAGTCTAATATGCTAAATTGATACGGTTTACAACATAGGAAAAATTATTTGGTTTAATGTTTGGAAATATTAAAAAAATAGAAATTAAATGAGCAAGCGGGATGTCAGAAATAATGACAAAGATTAAGCGAATCAATATTTGCTGCCTGGAGTGGGTGATAATCTACAATAACAGCTTCAGGCGACACAGGGCTCTGTTGTACTGCTACGTGTTTAAGGTAGAGAAGTTTATGTACCCAGGGTAGCAACCAATGCGAGACATAATCAGTTACAACAGGGGTTCTTAAACTTCTTTCGAAGCGGCACCCTTGCAGGTTCACCTACACTCAAAGCGGTTGAATATACATAGTAAAAGAAGAAGAAAAAAAGGTGCATATTTAATGTTCAATTATCATGCGAATGATGAAACTATTTAGATGTCATTATTTTCTTTTAAGTTTCATTTTTCAGAAATTCTCTCCATCATTGATGACACTGCCTGAAGAGATATAACGCGCGCCTTTGAAGGTTTCTCCACCTTCAGGAACTAGATCAGAATCATTGTATTCCAGATGGCTCTTTAATTTAGACGGAACCAAACAGCCGTTAGAAACACTTCTATGCCAGTTTACGTATTGCTTTTCATGAGCCTGTTCGTTCCCAGCCGAAACAAAGCCACAGTAATTAATACAGCCGAATTCGCATTTCAGTCATCGTTCGCTCAGCCGTTAGCTCGATGTAATTTAAACGCACTTTCATATTCTTTAGCAATATCTTCAACTTTGATTTGGGCAAATTAACCCTAGAAAAAGGGGAAAAATGCGTGATCACACACACACAAACACACGCACACGCACACACACACACACACACACACACACACACACACACACACACACACACACACATCTTGTCTGTAAATATAAGTACTTACTTGACCAGGCTATCAGTTACTACAGTACAAATCACATTTTCCATCGTAAAATGTCAGCTAAAATGTAATCACAACTCTACTTATCCACTGCACCTTCACCAATACAGACTTATCGGTGGCACCTTGAGATAAATATAAGAACAATTCTTAGAAACTTTGCGGTTGGCATTTTATGCAGTCTGTCCTTCAAAGATCGGCCCGACCGTGTTAGAACTAGTGCCCGTAAAGGCTTATCAGCGATAAGGGTCCTGGCCACCGCCAACATCGAGCAGAGACTGCTTCTGCTACTGTTTCTAGGGACTGTTTCTTTCTCCTAACAAGTATGCTTGAGCCATACTTACCGTCAGCGATACGTAGATTAAAAGACTAGACAAGGTGCAGAATGAATCCATGCGCATTATTCTGGTGTGCCCAAGAGACACCTCTTGCATAGCAAAATCTTCTTTGACTTTCCGACGATGTATCATAGGATTCTGGAGGACTCTTGCTTATATGAAGATAACCTCGAATTTGAAACACCCTCTGCACAATTTTCTCTTTAGGAAAAAAGGCAACAGGCTAAAAAGGGGCCAATCATGACTCGGGTAGGGCAGAGGACGATATTATACAGGTCTGCAGTCTTACAGACATCAACATCGGCGAAGAATGGATACCTGTGCTCCATGTGCTCAACTGCAACTTTCCCTGTGTTCCCACACTTGATAAGAGTTGTCGGGAGCAGAATCCACTTGCTGTCAATGCAGAGGTTCACGCGCTTATATGTGAAAATTCAGATGAGGCGGATGTACTGATTTACACAGATGGGTCCGTTGTATGAGGACAAAAAAGTGCATGAGCATTAACTGCGTGCTCTGCGGGCAGAACAGTCCAGGAGGCCAGTGGTGCCGTCTGTATGACTTTTAGTAACGTGACAATAGAGGTGATGGCGGTAACACGAGCTTTCATGTGGCTAGTATCGCACAGATATTCTCAGGTGTGTGTGCTGAGGGATTCCATGAGTATGATCCGGTGGGTGGGAGCGGGCTTTGTATGCAGACAGTGGATCGAGTCATTGCAAAACTCTACAGTGCGTGGAGTTCCTTCATCTTTGCACCAGTGTATGCAGGTGTTGTTGGCAATGAAAGAGCCGACAGATTAGCAGGCTCTGCCTTAGTTACATAGGGCCGGCCCATGTATCACGCTGACATTATTAATGCCATTAGAGAGATAGGACGATCATAGAATTTTGGGAGCAGCACTTCCACATCTGTGCTGGGAGTTCAAGAACTGGGAGAAAAGATCGGCACAGCCAGGCACGAGAAGCACACCGGACTTATAAGAAGTCTTGTAAACCAGCATATGACTGGGACTATCAACGGCGGGACGCTAATGTATGTTGAAAGGGGAATCTGAGCACCTACAGACGTGTCTGGAGTGCCGTGAAGATAACTCAGGTCATAACTCATCTTATGCAGTATGATACCCTTTTAGTGTAAAACAAGGAACAAATTCTTTCCAACAGTGGCCAGGACAACTTCAATTTTAGCTTTTAAGTATCTTCAAGCCTTTTCTTAATAAAGTCACAATTTTTAGTCGACTAGTATTGATTTTTGCCGCGATACCCCTGGCAAAGGCTCTCTGCACCCAGTTTGAGAACCTTTGAGTTAGAAGATTTCTCACAGACGCAAGGAACTGATTAGGACACGCGAAGACAACAGTTTATGAAATAAAACATTTTATCTGTATGTATACATACATACACACATACATACTTGTTCTTTATTCTGCTGTTTATTCACAGTGGAGCATGAGCACCCGCCCGTCTGTTTTGCCTTTTGCAACGGAAGTGTTTAATGTGAGAAGGTAGCCAGCCCTCAAGCTAACCTTTACCTTAGTCGACTCTTACGTCATGCTTGCTGAGATGCAGTGTTGCTATTCTTTGCTTCCACTAAGGATTCCTATGACACATAGGTGATGTACTTGTTCCCTATTAAAGGAGTGTTTAGTTCTTAGCTTCAGTATATAATATACCATGTACTGTTATGGTACGTTAGGTACACCTTCACATAAACTAGACATCGGTAAAGTAAGATAGAAGATAGTGTGATTGCTTCCTTCATACATACCCGCGAGCGCGCGCGCACACACTTGCACACGCGCGCGTGCACACACACACACACACACACATATTCGTTCAAAAAACTGCATGTCTTTCCTTAGAAAAAGAAAATCAGAAAACGGTCATAACTATTCAGTACCAATACAACTAGACTGGATCAACCCAAAAATCCCACTGGCGGGGCTCAACTGGGCACCTACTTGTTGCAATACTAGGACCCGTGTCTGGATAAATAAACTCACAAACTACTGGACCAGTCGGCGCTAAAAATGTGCGCATCGTGTGGTTCAAGTGTTATAAAAAAGGCATGGTTCCAGGAAGGAGGGGCAGGGGCCGACCAACACGAAGATGGGCACAGGATATAAGTGACTCCTTGAGTATGAAAGTACATGAGGCCAGAGAACGGGCAAGAGACCGAGTTTCTTTCAGGCAGAATGTGATGAGAGCGACGTTCTGCAAAGGACCTGTTACATGATGATGATGATGGCGTGGAATGTACACCCCAGTTACCAGCATCATCAGGGGGTGATGATGCTGATGATGATTCTGATGATGTATGGGAGGATCCTTTGTCGAACCCAGATAAGTATTGGGTATATGATGCTAGTCCCAAGTTGTAAGCCACGGCTAGCTCCAGCAGTTGATCTGGAAGTGAAGGTCGCTATTTGGTAATCCAATAAAATGGGTTGTTGCCTGTCTAATTGTAATTCTGTTCCCAGGTTGAACTGTCTGACTTCAGGGCGTCCTGGTGGGCACAAGACATAATGACCAGTGTTGTGGCCACGATGAGCACGGTTCGTCACTTCAGTGACAGCCAATCAGATAACCGTCAACATATAGAAGAGTTTGTCCCCGAGGACATTTACGTCACTTCCTGGACCAGAAAAGTGGTAGAAATTTGTGTTGACTTGACCCTGGGCTTCCTCATCTCCTTGGTGGGCGTGGTCACCAACATCCTGGTCATTGCCGTCTTCGCCAAGCAAAAGTTCAAGGACAGCGTCGCCGTCTCCATGACAACAATTGCTGTATGGGATTTCATCAAGTGTTTCGGCTGCGCCCTCCAAAGACTGTCCGGCCCTATCAGTTTATATGATTCTGCGGTTGCCGAAAGCTGGGCCAACATTTCTGTGGTGGCGTTGAGCTACCTCACCTGCTTCGTCACGTACGTGTCCATCGTCCTGGCGGCTTACGTGGCCGTGGAGAGATGCTTGTGTGTCAGCATCCCCTTCAAAGTCAAATGGTTCATCACGCCTAGAAGTTCTTTCATTATCTGCTTCATAATTTCTCTCGTCGTGTTCGGTTGGTTCTCTGTCATGTACGGAATTTACGATATCCTTTGGGTGTACAGCCACAACTACAACAAAACTATCGCCATCTACGTCTACAGCGACTTCATTCACCAACACGCCCAGCCTGTGTTTCTTTTCTACAACCTATCTGGCATCATTTTACCCGTAGTTTGTTTCCTCGTCATCGTCGCCTCAACTTTCGTCATCATATACCATCTCCGGAAGTCATCCAACTTCCGGTCAGGAAGCACCAAGGGACAGGGTGGACAGTCACAGAAACAATCACGTAAGTGGGTCTGTTAGAGCTGTTCTCATTCTGCGGTCGTTAACACTGCCTACAGTCATTAGATAAACATTACTCTTGTCACAACAGTGGCACATTGTACCGATTCTAACACTGCCTACAGTCATTAGATAAACATTACTCTTGTCACAGTAGTTACACATTGTACCGATTCTAACACTGCCTACAATCATTAGATAAACATTACTCTTGTCACAACACCTGCACATTGTACTGATTCTAACACTGCCTACAGTCATTAGATAAACAGGACTCTTGTCACAGCAGTTACACATTGTACCGATTCTAACACTGCCTACAGTCATTAGATAAACATGACTCTTGTCACAGCAGTTACACATTGTACCGATTCTAACACTGCCTACAGTCATTAGATAAACATGACTCTTGTCACAACACCTGCACATTGTACTGATTCTAACACTGCCTACAGTCATTAGGTAAACAGGACTCTTGTCACAGCGGTTACACATTGTACCGATTCTAACACTGCCTACAGTCATTAGATAAACATTACTCTTGTCACAACACCTGCACATTGTACTGATTCTAACACTGCCTACAGTCATTAGATAAACATTACTCTTGTCACAGCAGTAGCGCATTGTACCGTCACTAACACTGACCACTGTCACTAGATAAACATTACTCTTGTCACAACAGTAGCGCATTGTACCGTCACTAACACTGCCCACTGTCACTAGATAAACATTACTCTTGTCACAACAGTGGCACATTGTACCGTCACTAACACTGCCCTCAGTCATTAGATAAACATTACTCTCGTCACAACAGTGGCACATTGTACGGTCTCTAACACTGCCCTCAGTCACTAGATAAACATTACTCTTGTCACAACAGTGGCACGTTGTACCGTCACTAACACTGACCACTGTCACTAGATAAACATTACTCTTGTCACAACAGTGGCACATTGTACGGTCTCTAACACTGCCCGTTGTCACTTGATAAAGATGACTCTTGTCATGGCGGGTGTTTCAGAAAACGTGCGTGCAGATTATCGGGCCGACTTTTAGATTCCTATGTCTTTCCAAATACTGGACAGAAATGACGCTATAAATGCCACACGTGACGCAGTCGCGAAGACCAAAACGACATAAGGCTCGATGCTTCCCCCCCCCCCCCAACCAGGCTAGCAGACATGTCAATACTACCTCATTTATCATCGATGGCAGACCTTGTCAACATCAGGTCGGCAACCTTTGTTTCCTATGAGATTTCCTTGTATCCACTGTAGGCTGGGACTACAGAGAGCGCCATGATTTACCTTGGCTTACCGGCACGACACATTATAATAGGGATGGTGATATTTTCCCTTCTGGTTTTCGATTTGTGACAGTCAATGAGGAGCGCGGGTTCCAATCCTTTGGAAGGCCATGGATTTGTTACTGTCGGGGGCAAAACTTATCTCCTCACTTGCATTAGCCATACGGCCCTAAGTCCTCATGCTCAAGATCCTTTATCTTTGTCCTAGGTCACGCTGTTAAGTGTTTATTGTTAGTTTGTTGTTAGTTTCTTGTTTGTTTGTAGTTAGTTTGTCGTTATGTAGTCGTTAGTTTGTCGTTAGTTTGTCGTTATGTAGTCGTTAGTTTGTCGTTAGTCGAGGTTTCAATATCACTATAGAGCGTGTTGCCTGAGAACTGTCTGCCTCGTTCTGGTGCCAGTGAAATTAAACAAAATGTCTGTGTTGTTCCATCTAAACATTATTTGTTAAAATTTTTTTTTAATTGTAGGGGCGCAAACGGTCGGTCACGTAAGCCGACATTGTACCCGCAAAAGCACAGGCACACAGTAACTGCAGCTCTCCAGTGGCTGGAGAACAAGATGCTTACACATGTCGTAATTTTCACAGGTTCTGAAGGCATGCTGAAAAAAGGTGAAGACAGGGATGCCTCGAGCAGAGTGACTTGCTTCACTGGAAAAGTCACAGGTGGTGAGCATACTTTGGATCTTTTCTTCAAGCGATGCCGGCGTGGTGGGTAATGAACAGGCAGACAGATTGGCTGGATCTGCACCGCTGGGTGGTGAATTGATACATGACAAGGCAGATGTGGTCAAGGCCCTTTGGGAACAAGCAACGGAATCAGTAGAGAAAGAAGAATATTATGGCCTGGAGAGAACAAGGCACCTGGGTGTAATTAGAGGGTCTGGCCGGCTGACTACACTCAGAGGAAAGGCAAGACGGACATTTAACCAGATTGTGACCGGTACCATCAGTATTGGAACCATGCGCTGGCTACTGAAGATGAGGACGGAGCATGCATGGGAATGCCCTGACTGCTGTGATGTCAATTCTTGACTCAACTCAACTCAGGCACACGCCGTTCTGAACGCAACCGGCCTTTCGCCATTTTAGTTAGTAAATAACACGCCGCGGTATAACAGTGAGACAAAACACATTCCGCATTGAATACAGTGCTCATAGTGTTGCACCGAGCACACATATTAGTAACTTAGTGACGGAACTTGTTGACTCCGGCTCCAGAAATGGGGAACTAGCATTTGCAGCAAAACCTAGATGAAACATAACTTTTCAAAGCGGCAGCGCTCATCCAGCAATCGTTTTTTTTTTTTTTTTTGGTTAAAAATAGAAAAGAGCACCCCCACCCCCCCCCCCACTTTTTTTTAAAACTATCAACAGAAAACAGCAGCTTGGCACACTGTCAGACTGTGTTTGCCTATCGGTACAAGAGGTCACGATGAAGAGTCTGGAATTAAACTATCTTTTTTCGGTGTCTTTCTCTCCTCCAACATCTGTTGCTCTTGAGGCGTCCGTCGAGAAGAAGGACAGTCATCTTTCAAGTTGTGCTCTTCTCATGAACTAGCCAGATAATGACATCTGTTTTTGATATTTGTGATCTTTGTTTTCAGCCTCTGTCAAAACAGTTAGATCACCACAATTATGTGTCCGGGAAATCGTCTGTATTTGTCTGTAAAACATTTCTAAAGCTTCAAAGACATATTTATTTGAACTGATTTTATTTTCAGAAAAACATATCTCTATGAGAGAACGACAAGTGGTCAAGATGCTGCTGGTCATCATCGCCGTCTACGTGGTCAGTCTGTCCCCAAGGATCGTCCACTACATCATCAAATATTTCATCTACGAGTTCTATTTTCTCCGACGATACCACAATATTTTCCTGATAGCCACTTACGTCATGTACACATTTGACGAGCTCAACGCGGCCACCAACTTCTTCGTGTTTTTATCCATGAGCTCAGCGTTCCGAGCCACGTTTCATGAGTTGTTTCCCTTCTGTTACAGCTTGGTTCCACACAAACGACGGCATGCCAAGGAAGATAAATCTGCCTCGACAGGCAAATAGGCTTCATTTCCCAAATTCCGGGAAGTTAACTCGGTCAACAAATGCGCGATATAGTCGGATGTTTCGGTAGAAGGGTGAAAATATCGCAGCTTTGCTGTAAACTTTTTTTTGGGGTGGGGGTGGGGGGGGGGGGAGTTGGCCGCCCGACTACCCGGAGGATATTACGTCAGTAATCCGGACTTAATGGGGAAACCACCCGGTATGAGGTTTATTGAGATGGCTCACGGAGATTAGGTTTCACCCGTGACTAGGTTGTGAGCGATCCCGGTCGTCTTGGCCAGACCATTGCAGCAAAGCTACACTTTGGTCTTAGCCAGAAGACACAGCTCAATTACGTCACTCGGACGGACGAAAAGAAGAAGAACAACATGTTTTCTATACATGGACCATATTTTCTTGAGAACCAACGGGTTACTTAAGACACAGATAGGGGATTGGGAGGGACATACACTAGGAAAGCTGTGTGGCAAAGGAACAACGGATAGGGAGGGGAGGGGAAATCTGGATACAGTGGGGCAGTGGTCAGTCCGTGGTGTTGGGTGGCAAAGATGGAACACCACAAACGGTAACAGTGGGGCGTGTGGGCAGTGGTCAGTCCGTGGCATTGTGTGGCAAAGATGGAACACCACAAACGGTAACAGTGGGGCGTGTGGGCAGTGGTCAGTCCGTGGCATTGGGTGGCAAAGATTAAACACCACAAACGGTAACAGTGGGGCGTGTGGACAGTGGTCAGTTCGTGGCACTGGGTGGCAAAGATGGAACACCACGCCGTGGGTTATACCAGACAACAGACACGACACATATTCGTGTAGTAACTTTTTCAGATGTGAATCACATCTTTCTCGGATCTTTTTACTACCTCACTATTTTTTTTTTTTATTTGTCATCATCATCATCAGGTGCCTTGCCGACTGGCGTGGGCAATCATGCCTCTCCATAATCCGCGATCTCCTGCAGCATGTATCAGTTCGTGTGCCGACACACCTCCATGCCATGCAACAAGACTGTCAAGCATCATCTCTCGTTGTCTTCCTCTATCCCTCCTTCCACAGATCTTTCCAGTGGTCACAACATGTTCTATTTTCCCTCTTCTGATAACATGGCCGAAAAATGATGACTGTCTCTTTCTGATGTCTGTGATAAGTTGTCTTTGGGTTCCCGCCTCTTTCAAAACCTCCTGGTTGCTCTTTTTGGCTGTCCAAGGTTTTCTAAGCATTCTTCTGTAAAACCACATCTCTGAGGCCTCTAAAAATTGTTTGGCCTGCTTACCGATTGTCCAGGATTCACATCCATATGTTAAAACTGGATGTATGTAGCAAGCAAGAATTCTTTTATTCTTTTTCTAACTCTCAATGACAAGGATATATTGCACAAGATGTTTTTCATTTTATAAAATGCTGTTTTTGCCTGTCCAATTCTGTTTCTTATTTCAGTTATGCATCTTCCATCTGATGTTATCCATGTGCCCAGATACTTAAATTTCTGTACTTGTCCTAAAATAACACCATTGACTTGTATTACACATTTAGGAATAATTTGTTTCTTGGATACCACCATTACTTCTGTCTTCCCATTATTCAAACTGAGGCCCATTCTTCCACTTTCCAACACCACAATGTCTATCATTTCCTGTAATTCTTTCTGACTTG